GCCCTGGCGGGCCACACACACACACACTCATACCAACCAGCACTCAGACAGGCACAGTCACACACGCAAGCCAACCAGCACTCAGACAGACATGCAGTCCAGCAAGCACACACACACATAGACTTAGCAGGCGGGGAACTCAGTAGGGCATTCAGTCTATGAGCAAAACTCAGAAATCAGCTGTGTGTTTCAGTCCGTGTTTGGACGGGTTATCACAGACAAGAATACTCGCAATATCGATTTCGCTGCAATCAGACTCACATTCTTTCCACTTCGCACACATGCAAACAGATGGGGATTCACACTGGCGCAGGGCGCCCACTCAAAGCTTAGAGATATGGAAATCAAGAACACAGTTCAGATGCAAGTTCTCTTCAACAGGCTATGGCGCATCAGCGCCTGAACATCCCAACCTTCGTCACTGTGTCCAACCCCACTATTTACACACGCTCACTCTGGATCACCCTGAATACCACCACACACATACACACTGTCTAACTTCCTCCTACAGCGGCTATGGCCGCACTACCACTACTGACTATGGCTACAATCTCTCTTCAGCCCACTTCGTCTTCGGGCAACCTGCAGACCACCTTCTCACAAGACGCTGTAGCAGCGCTTCCGCATGGCTTACTCAGCGAATGAATGAATGGCTGGGCGCTGCCTCGTGATTTATACTTCTGTAACTCGTTGGTCTGCCCCTTTCCAAGGCCCTTGGTGCACACAGTCCCACACGGTACTTGCTTGACTGGGCTCTGCCTGACTGGGACCGGTGCCGCTGACTGCATGGGATTGCACTGCCAAGTCGATGCAGTCGCACTAACGCAGTTGGCTCACCACTTGCCCACTTGCCTCTGACTAAAGGCTCACCACTTGCCCACTTGCCTCTGACTAAACGTGAGACACTTCGAAAGGCCACTTCCGGACCTTCCGGAAGGCTGTGGACTTGGCCTTTCGGGTACTGTAGCAGCTACGACCTGGACCTTTCAGGACTGTAGCAGCTACGACCTTGACCTTTCAGAATACCTACAGCTACGACCTCTACAAAGCTGTGACTCCTAATCTACAGACCTACAGATCGAACCCCTACCACTACACAGACCTATGACAGACGACAAATACTGCCAAAACACAGATCACGGGTTCAAACACTCGGGTGTCGACTTGATACTGTACATGGCCAAAGTGAGGTGTGGGGGTCGAATTCTAGGGCCCGCATCTGTGACTGCAGACATTTGAAAACCGTTTCGGAGAGACAAGGGCAAAGAAGGTGCGAGGAAGGAAGAGCGAGAGGAGGAAATGTGTTAGGTGAAATGCGTTTTTCTCTCTCCTGCTTTCCCTCTCTCCTTCTTGAGCGTGTGCAACGGTGTTGAGATCTTTAAAAGAAATGGAGCGATCTTGATAACAAATGGAGCGTTTACGTCCACTGTGTCGGGCGTTATGAAAGGAGGGCCGCCAGTTGAGGGAGGAAGGGGCAGGTAGGGAGTACAACGGAGGGAGGAATNTGTCGGGCGTTATGAAAGGAGGGCCGCCAGTTGAGGGAGGAAGGGGCAGGTAGGGAGTACAACGGAGGGAGGAATGGAAGGAGGTGGTCAGGTGGTGATCAGGCTGAGGAAAGGAAGGGGAGGAAGGAGATTGGGGGAAGGAGGGCAGACAGAGATCGGGCGAACGAAGGGGGCGGATGAAGGGGAATGAGGCGGCCAGGCGGACGGAGGCCAGTGGGAGGTTGAAGAGAAAGTGCGGAGGAGGCCAGTAGGCAGGGGAAAGGCGGCAGAGAGTAGGGCGGAAGCAGGAGTTCAGGTAGAGATCGGCCAAAGGAAGGAAGGGGAGGAAGGGGATTGGGTTGCCTACATTTCCTCATCCTTGCATCTCCTGCTCCTCTCCTATCGCT